CTCCACATAGCGCTGCCACTTTGAAACACCGCGTGCAGCCCAGGACCAACTGGGGAGTCTCCAGGCTGTACCCAGCGTTTCAAAGCATCAGCACCATGTGAAGCCCAGGATCAGCTGGGGACTCCCCTGCTGACTCCGGGCTCTGTGAGGCACTGCCACTTTGAAACGCCGCATGGAGCCAAACCCTGGGCTTCCCGTGACATTTCAAAGTGGCAGCGCTGCATGGAGCCTGAGGTAAGTGGGGGAATCCCCAGCTAATCCCAGGCTTCACAGGACGTTGCAGTTTTGAAATGCTGCAAGGAGCCTGGGGTCAGCAGGGGAGCCCTCAGCTGACCCCGGGTGCCATTCAGCGCTGCCGTTTTGAAATGCTGCAGGGAGCACAGGGCCAGTGGCACCATGCTCCCCGCAGCGATTTCACCTTTGAAGTGTAGCAACAGTACTGGAGCTGTTTCTACATTTTAAAGGCAGAGGCGCCCTTATTGACTAATCCACTAGTCAATGCAAATTGCATCAACTATTCAATTAATCAAAATTTAACATCCCTAGACCCCCTCCCTTTCCATTTTATGAGAACCAATTAAATTCCAGGCACATCCCATTGTCCTGGCACAAGCAAATCCTTATATTGCTTTAAGTTATGATATGAGGAAGCTGCATGCCAAATTTGGTGATCCTAGCTCTTACAATTTAGGAGGAGTTCTTGAACAAAGGGACTCACAGATGAACAGACAGACAGATGCACATTTCTAAAAGTAAGAAGATGAAATGAATGGAACTGTTTTCCTTAGAGACAAATGAGAAAATATGACAGGAATGCACAAAACAATGAATGGAATAGAGGCAGTAGATCGAGCGCTTCTATTTATCCTCAGACAAAAATGGGGATATTTTACAGCATTGATGGGAGTAACTGGTAAAAGGGAACACTTCCACACTGGGCACAATTCATTTGTGGAACTCACTGCCTCAAAGTATCACGAAATAAAAAACTAAGGAAGATTTAATGAGTATTGACATGGACAAGGACAGCCAAAACAAAAACAGTAAGTGATATAAACAGTTGTAAGTTTTGGAAGCGTTTTCAGGGTGAGAGCTAACCTCTGCTAGGATATAATTATCCTATTCAGGGTCCCCTGAACATTCCACTGAAGCAGCTGGTGTTGGCTGCCATCAGAGACAGAATATCAAACTAAAAGGACCACTGTCTGATCCACTCTGGCAATTTCCATGCTTCACAGCTCAGAGTCCCAACAGAACAAGTCATTATCAATTTGTGCCCATCTTGAATTCTCATTAAGTCAATTTAGCTTAGATTAAGTTGTAGGTGGATTCCTTAAGATACTAGGCAAATTACATTTTAAAAGTTTAGCTGGTTCTCCTTCAGCTTCTTTACAGTGCTTAAAGCAGCCTGGGAGTTTTTAACTAGACTTGGCAAATCAGTCAACTGACTGGGACAAATGTCAACTGAATCTTGTAGATACACAATATAATCAATATAAAAATTATAGATTTGAGAGAGGTAGCTGTGTTAGTCTATTTCAGCAGAAGCAAGGAGTCCAGTGGCACATTAGAAACTAACAATTTTTTTATGACATAAGCTTTCATGAGTTGCAACTCATGTCATCAGATACATGAGGTGAAAGGAAAAGATAGTAGGGATACAAGATTGGAGTGTGATAGAGTTAAATCACAATGGATAGAGAAAAAGTGAGAATACTTAAAGTGGAAAATTACTTTTTGTAATGAGATCCATTCCTAGTTCCTATTCAAACCTAATGAAGTCAATTGCAATTCATGAAAGCTTACATCATAATAAACTTGTTAGTTTCTAAGACGCCACTGGACTCCTTGTTGTTTTCATTTCACATCTTCTGAGTTAAATTATTTTTTTTTGTAATCTCAGAGGCATAGCCGTGTTAGTCTATAACTTTTAAAATGAATAGTCCTGCAAATTTCTAGTCGAAAAATAACAAGCAGAGCTTTAATTTAAAAAGCCTGTTGAGACCAACTTTATAGATATAAAAAGCAGATAAACACATGGTCACCACCACTCCCCCCATGCAAGTCACTTTTACTGTCTCCTGGAAGGAGAGGCCTCTTGTTTAACATCTTTTAAAAATTGCACAAAGCTTTAAATAATCCTAAACATACGTGGTCTCGTGCAAGCTTCTTCCATGTTTCCACCAGGTCCCACAATTTCAACCCTGCTATTCAAGTCCTGGGCTCCCACAAATACACTGTTCTGCCCATGAAACTCCACCATGACCCACAGTGCCCCCTACTATTTCAGTCCTGATCTCCCCACAGCTGTGTCAATACTTATCAAATCTCCTGTAACACCCTAATGCCTCACCTGAATAGAAGCTTTCAGCCACAGTTACAGGACTATTAAATATACAACAGTTCTCCAGAGGTGCAGCACTGAATTAACTAGTTCAGGGCTTCTCATATTTCATTGTACTGAGACTCTCTCTTCAGACAAAAAAAGTTACAGCAGGACCTCAAAACCCAAGGGCTTCAGTCTTAGGCAGGGGGGCCTGTAACCTGAGCCCTGCTGCCAGGGCTGAAGCACTCAGGCTATGGCTCAGATCTCAAGTCTAATGTCCACTCTAGCAACCTCATTAAAATTGTCTCACAAACAACTTTGGAGTCCTGAGCCAGAATTTGACAAATCCTGACCTAGTTCATTAACCAGACATGTACATGACTTAAAGTATTTTTCAAATCCAGTGAAAGCACTTTCCTGACTTGGATAAACCATGTTTTTTGTTCAATTCCTATACACTTCTATGAGAACTCTGCGCTCCTACTGTTAAGCATCTAAACTGAATAACATGGTCAATTTGAATGTTACTCCACTATTCATTCAGCACAATTAGGACCCCATGATCAATAGACTGCCACCTAACCTGCTCTTCTGGACAGAACCTGCCGCTACCTAGTGCTAGGGAAGGCTGTACTTTCCCTAGTTCATATTTCACCTTGGAACTCTGTGTTGTCTAGGCCCCTGATGGCCTCCACCGCATCCTCAGCCCGCTCCATATGCACAAAGGCATAATCCTTCACTATGTCACACTCGATCACTGGGCCGTACTCTTCAAACTTGGCCTGCAGCTCCAAGTTAGTGCAGGTGGTACTGATGTTGCCCACATGCAGTTTGGTGGAGGCTTTGCTCTTGTTTTTGCTGGCTTCCACGTTTATGCAGACACCATGCAGCTTGTGGTGATGCAGGTTACGGATGGCATCTTCGGCTGCGGTCTTGTCTTCGATATGCACAAAGCCATAGTTTTTGATGATATCACATTCCAGCACCTTCCCATACTGCTCAAAGAGCGACCGGATCTCTTGTTCCGTTGCCTCTCGGGGCAGATTCCCGATGAAGAGTTTCACCATCTTAGAGTCTGGGGGAACAGGAAAGTGGTTTAAAAGAAGCACTCATTCCAAGTGTAATGCTCTTTTATATTTCTTATATGCCCCCCCTCACCACAATATATCACCCATTTTATAAATGCAAAAGCTGAGTCACAGGACTGATGTGGTAATTGAACCCAGGGATCAATGCAGTACAGGCAGTCCCCGGGTTACATGGATCCGACTTACATCGGATCCCTACTTACAAACGGGGTGAGGCAACCCCGCACTAGCTGCTTCCCCCCAGCAGACCAGGGAGACGCGAAGCTAGTGCCCCCCTCAGCAGACCAGGGAGACGTGGAGCGGCTTTTCTCAGCAGACACCTCAGCTTGAGAATAAAGGACTGAGGGAAGTGAGGTGTGGGAGAATAAAACTGAGCTCTGGAGAAATGTTTGGCTAGAGTTTCTCCTACAATATTTACCAGTTCCGACTTACATACAAATTCAATTTAAGAACAAACCTACAGTCCCTATCTTGTACGTAACCCGGGGACTGCCTGTATTCCATCCACTAAAGCAGCATTTCTCAAATGCCACCAGTGTCTTTTCTTGCAGCCACAGCCTCCTGGGCAGAGGGGTGGGGTGGGGTGAAGGAGAGCAGCCTGTCCCCATGGCTGTCAGCAGGGGTTAATCCATGTCCCCTTCAGGAGACACAAACATTTTAGGAGCAGACAGGCAGCAAGAGTTCCCCACCTTTCTGGGAGCAGTGGGTGACAGAATCTGGCCATGTGGTAGCAGGCTCCATCCCATAGCCACAGGGCTTCAGGCTCCTACTCTGGGCTTGCTTAGCCACCTGATTGCACCTGACCTACACAGCCTCTCATGTACCTCCCTCCAATCACCTCTCAGCCTCCTACCCATCCAGGCTACGTCTACACTGGCCCCTTTTCCGGAAGGGGCATGTAAATTTCAGCAGTCGTCGTAGGGAAATCCGCGGGGGATTTAAATATCCCCCGCGGCATTTAAATAAAAATGTCCGCCGCTTTTTTCCGGCTTTTAAAAAAGCCGGAAAAGAGCGTCTAGACTGGCCCCGATCCTCCGGAAAAAGCGCCCTTTTCCGGAGACTCTTATTCCTACTTTGAATAAGAGCCTCCGGAAAAGGGCACTTTTTCCGGAGGATCGGGGCCAGTCTAGACGCTCTTTTCCGGCTTTTTTAAAAGCCGGAAAAAAGCGGCGGACATTTTTATTTAAATGCCGCGGGGGATATTTAAATCCCCCGCGGATTTCCCTACGACGACTGCTGAAATTTACATGCCCCTTCCGGAAAAGGGGCCAGTGTAGACGTAGCCCCAGGGTTTAACTTGTTCCCCAGCTCAGGAAATCTGCTGTGAAAAGTGATATTAACAAATATACAAACAACAAGTAAGCCTGTGGCATCTTAGAAACTATCAAAAATATATATAGTATCATGAGCTTCCATGGGCAAACCCCACTACTTCAGATAGAATCAAATACTAGAACTGGAAGAGAGCTTGAGAGGTCATCAAGTCCAGTTCCTTGCCCTCTTGGCAGAACCAAGCACCATCTAGATCAGGGGTCGGCAACCTTTCTGAAGTGACGTGCCAAGATTTTACCCTCCTGCTCTGGGCCATGCCGCTCTCCCAGGATGGTGAAGAAGGGCTCTCTCCACAGACCACCTGGCTCAGTGCAAACTTTCCATGAACTACCAGTTGCTAATGGAAACTCACTGTTAATTACACTCAAGCAGTTTTGCTAGTGCTGCAGCTATGGAGAAAGGTTTAATTTAAATTAAACAGATTGTTTTAACTTTCACATGTTAGCTTGTCAAATTTCATTTCACTAAAGTAAAATATTAATTTACGTCCAACACAAAAGTTTCAGCGTTTTCTTTATTTATGGCAGGGAGAGGGAACTTTTTTTGGGTTGGAGGCCACTGACTCAGAAAAATCAGTTGGGGGACCATACAAGTGAGAAGGAAAAAAAATAAAAAAAAACTCCTTCAAAAACCTCCCAACTGCGGACCCCAACTGAGACACCTCACTCCTCTGGTGCTCCAGTCCCACAGAGCCAGAGGAAGGGACAGGGAGGACTGAGGTTTGGGGCTTCCCACAGGCTAGATTTACTTTTATGGGATTCCAGAGTTAGTGGATTTTATGCACCTTCTTAGTCTCTGGGGTAGGGACAAAAATGAGGAGTTCAGTATGCCGGGCAGGGCTGCCAGTGAGTGGGATAAGGATGGGGTGCAAGGTCTGGGCAGGAGGTGAGGTGAAGGAGGGGGAGAGGTTGTAAGGTCTGGGTGGAAGGTAGGGTGCAGAAGCAGGCTGGGAGTAGGGTGTCCGGTCATGAGGAGGGAGCAGGAGCAAGGAAGGGTACAGGAACGGGGGGAGGAGGGGAGAGAGGGTGTCTGGCTAGTAGGAAGAGTGCAGAAGGGGGTTTGGTACAGGGTGTCTGGCCAGGATGGAGGGTGCAGGAGCAACAGAGGATGTTGGAGCAAGCTGGGGGTGTGGGAATCATAGAATCATAGAGCTGGAAGAGACCTCAGGAGGTCAAGTCCAGCCCCCTGCCCAAGGCAGGACCAATCCCAGTTAAATCAACCCAGCCAGGGCTTTGTCACGCTGAGACTTAACCTCTAGGGAGGGAGATTCCACCACCTCCTAGGGAACCTATTCTAGTGCTTCACCACCCTCCTAGTGAAATAGTTTTTCCTAATATCCAATGTAGATCTCCCCCACTGTAACTTGAGACCATTGCTCCTTGTTCTCCCATCTCTCACTACTGGGAACAGCCTTTTCTCCATCCTCTTCGGAACCTCCCTTCAGGAAGTTGAAGGCCGCTATCAAATCCCCCCCTTACTTTTCTCTTCTGCAGACTAAATAGACCCAACTTCCTCAGTCTCTCCTCATAGGTCATGCGCTTCAGCCCCCTAATGATTTTGGTCGCCCTCCACTGGACCCTCTCCAATGTGTCCACATCCTTTCTATAGTGGGGGGCCCAGAACTAGACACAATATTCGGCCTCACCAGAGCCGAATAAAAGGGAATAATCACTTTCTGGATCTGCTGGCAATGCTCCTCCTAATATGGCATATTAGGGTGAATTAGGAGGAGCATTGCCAGCAGATCCAGAAAGTGATTATTCCCTTTTATTCGGCTCTGGTGAGGCCGAATATTGTGTCTAGTTCTGGGCCCCCCACTATAGAAAGGATGTGGACACATTGGAGAGGGTCCAGTGGAGGGCGACCAAAATCATTAGGGGGCTGAAGCGCATGACCTATGAGGAGAGACTGAGGAAGTTGGGTCTATTTAGTCTGCAGAAGAGAAAAGTAAGGGGGGGATTTGATAGCGGCCTTCAACTTCCTGAAGGGAGGTTCCGAAGAGGATGGAGAAAAGGCTGTTCCCAGTAGTGAGAGATGGGAGAACAAGGAGCAATGGTCTCAAGTTACAGTGGGGGAGATCTACATTGGATATTAGGAAAAACTATTTCACTAGGAGGGTGGTGAAGCACTAGAATAGGTTCCCTAGGAGGTGGTGGAATCTCCCTCCCTAGAGGTTAAGTCTCAGCGTGACAAAGCCCTGGCTGGGTTGATTTAACTGGGATTGGTCCTGCCTTGGGCAGGGGGCTGGACTTGACCTCCTGAGGTCTCTTCCAGCTCTATGATTCTATGATTCCCACACCCCCAGCTTGCTCCAACATCCTCTGTTGCTCCTGCACCCTCCATCCTGGCCAGACACCCTGTACCAAACCCCCTTCTGCACTCTTCCTACTAGCCAGACACCCTCTCTCCCCTCCTCCCCCCGTTCCTGTACCCTTCCTTGCTCCTGCTCCCTCCTCATGACCGGACACCCTACTCCCAGCCTGCTTCTGCACCCTACCTTCCACCCAGACCTTACAACCTCTCCCCCTCCTTCACCTCACCTCCTGCCCAGACCTTGCACCCCATCCTTATCCCACTCACTGGCAGCCCTGCCCGGCATACTGAACTCCTCATTTTTGTCCCTACCCCAGAGACTAAGAAGGTGCATAAAATCCACTAACTCTGGAATCCCATAAAAGTAAATCTAGCCTGTGGGAAGCCCCAAACCTCAGTCCTCCCTGTCCCTTCCTCTGGCTCTGTGGGACTGGAGCACCAGAGGAGTGAGGTGTCTCAGTTGGGGTCCGCAGTTGGGAGGTTTTTGAAGGAGTTTTTTTTTAATTTTTTTTCCTTCTCACTTGTATGGTCCCCCAACTGATTTTTCTGAGTCAGTGGCCTCCAACCCAAAAAAAGTTCCCTCTCCCTGCCATAAATAAAGAAAACGCTGAAACTTTTGTGTTGGACGTAAATTAATATTTTACTTTAGTGAAATGAAATTTGACAAGCTAACATGTGAAAGTTAAAACAATCTGTTTAATTTAAATTAAACCTTTGTTTTAACTTTCACATGTTAGCTTGTCAAATTTCATTTCACTAAAGTAAAATATTAATTTACGTCCAACACAAAAGTTTCAGCGTTTTCTTTATTTATGGCAGGGAGAGGGAACTTTTTTTGGGTTGGAGGCCACTGACTCAGAAAAATCAGTTGGGGGACCATACAAGTGAGAAGGAAAAAAAATTAAAAAAAAACTCCTTCAAAAACCTCCCAACTGCGGACCCCAACTGAGACACCTCACTCCTCTGGTGCTCCAGTCCCACAGAGCCAGAGGAAGGGACAGGGAGGACTGAGGTTTGGGGCTTCCCACAGGCTAGATTTACTTTTATGGGATTCCAGAGTTAGTGGATTTTATGCACCTTCTTAGTCTCTGGGGTAGGGACAAAAATGAGGAGTTCAGTATGCCGGGCAGGGCTGCCAGTGAGTGGGATAAGGATGGGGTGCAAGGTCTGGGCAGGAGGTGAGGTGAAGGAGGGGGAGAGGTTGTAAGGTCTGGGTGGAAGGTAGGGTGCAGAAGCAGGCTGGGAGTAGGGTGTCCGGTCATGAGGAGGGAGCAGGAGCAAGGAAGGGTACAGGAACGGGGGGAGGAGGGGAGAGAGGGTGTCTGGCTAGTAGGAAGAGTGCAGAAGGGGGTTTGGTACAGGGTGTCTGGCCAGGATGGAGGGTGCAGGAGCAACAGAGGATGTTGGAGCAAGCTGGGGGTGTGGGAATCATAGAATCATAGAGCTGGAAGAGACCTCAGGAGGTCAAGTCCAGCCCCCTGCCCAAGGCAGGACCAATCCCAGTTAAATCAACCCAGCCAGGGCTTTGTCACGCTGAGACTTAACCTCTAGGGAGGGAGATTCCACCACCTCCTAGGGAACCTATTCTAGTGCTTCACCACCCTCCTAGTGAAATAGTTTTTCCTAATATCCAATGTAGATCTCCCCCACTGTAACTTGAGACCATTGCTCCTTGTTCTCCCATCTCTCACTACTGGGAACAGCCTTTTCTCCATCCTCTTCGGAACCTCCCTTCAGGAAGTTGAAGGCCGCTATCAAATCCCCCCCTTACTTTTCTCTTCTGCAGACTAAATAGACCCAACTTCCTCAGTCTCTCCTCATAGGTCATGCGCTTCAGCCCCCTAATGATTTTGGTCGCCCTCCACTGGACCCTCTCCAATGTGTCCACATCCTTTCTATAGTGGGGGGCCCAGAACTAGACACAATATTC